TGTATAATTTGACGATTACGTTAGCAATTTAGTATTAGTATCAATTAAAAATTTTCATCTGGTCGTAAAACTGATGTTTTCTTTAGCGGTGATGGCAAAGATCGGGATAAAGATTATTCTTTAGACTTTCTTATTGAAAGGTGATTTATATCGATTAGAATCTTTGATTTAGCGAATGCCTAATAGAAATAGCAATAGGTCTATAGCAATAAATTCTCTTGAAACAATAATGAATTTTACTAATTAAATCTTGGTATAATAATAATAACGAGTTTTTAAAATTTTATCTACTCGCTGTGCAATTAATTGGTTTTCTAATCGCACTTTGACCTTTTAAGATTTGTATATCTTGGCCTCTTTAAGTACTTCATTTATCTTATGGGTTGGTGTAAATTATAAACAAACAACTAATTATTGTTATTAAATAATTTCATTGTCATTATCATTACAATTGACACTTTATTTTTTCATAATCTACCCTGAGGAATAGATATTACTTTTGGTAGCTACCAATAGTTTATGGTTTTCTTTGTTAAAATTCTAAATTTCTTTTATATATATATATATATAAATACAAGGGTTTTTGAGAAGCCTTTTAATTTCTGCATATAATTCAGTATTTGATAACGTTCACAAAAAAAATTTTAAAAATATTCTTCTTTAATCAATGCATTATTGCCCATTCGTGATATGTAACGAGAAACTAAAACTAAACAACAAAATAAAACGAACATAAAAAAAAAGAAAGTATATATAAAATATAAAAGTGTATGCGTGCAATCATTTCCATTTTTCTTTTGCCATGTTAATTGTTTTCATTAAATTCATACTAGAGCCCACTTTTTACACACAAATAATAATAGAAATAGGAATAAAAGACGTCTCTCATTTGAAAATATTTCACTTGGTATTAGGATTTGTTAGTGCGAATCAATGCAGATGCATAAGCATTTGCATGACTAGCTTGGGGCTGGTCGCAGCATGCTCTCAGGACATATTTGCATCGTTTGACCTATTTTCTTGAACCTGAAAGTTCAAGTTTTAACTCAAGCCTGTTCAATTTAGAGTTTCTATTCGAATAAACGAATAAAAACGAATAATTCGAATAAGAATATTATGAATCGAAACTTTAGCTCAAATCAATAATAACAAAGATTTTTAAACGCTTTAGCATTTTGTTTTAATTATTTGAGCAAATATTATACAGTCAAATCTCATTTCGGCGAATCTTATTTCAAGTCGTTGAAACATGATTAGTATAACGAACTTTAAATGTAATTTTCTTACGTGTCCAATAGGTTCGTCGAAACGAAGTTTAATTGTATGCGTATATATATTTCAGAATCTAAAAATCATTTTTTAATAGAAGCACAATTTTAAAAATTTCGGTCTGTCATAAAATTATTAAAGGTCTAAAATTCAAGTATGTTATACAGTTGTTATTCAATTATTTTCAATGGTCTGCAAAATCGTAAATAAATTTCGAGCCAAGTGTAAACTAAGCTTAGTTAATGTAGAGGAACAGGAGCAAGCTTTTGCACCAGAATTAAAACCCATAAGTGGAAGTTCCTGCTGTTAACAAAAGAGTATTTTCGCCTACAAATAAATTATTGTTGGTAAGTTTTTCCTTGAATTCAACTCCACCTAAGCTTTCCTGATGAAACTTGTTTAGCCTGATGCTGAAAGGCAAAACCTCTTACATAGTACCAAGATGCTGATGCTGCCGAAATGGCGAACTGCCAAAAATAACGAAACTTTCAAAACTGCTAAAATGCTAAAACAATGGTTTCAACTAAGGTTCTCTTTTGAATAAGATTTATTCGAAATATTTATTTGCTTTATTCATTATGAATTTGAGTATTCAAATTAGGTCGTATTATGAATAACTCGAACAATAATAAGAATTTGTATTACGAATAGAAATTCTAGACTAAATAATCAATTAAAATAGTCGACTATTTATTTGAATGTTGATAAAAAAATAGTCGATTATACTATATAGTAGTTAGTTAACATTAACTACAATAGTCGATTTCCAACTCTAGATTAAACTATGACAAAACTATATTAAAATCTTACTATAAGTTATAACAAAAGTCGCTATATTTGCCGAACTATTTCGGCTGATTTGCATACTCCATTCTGCCGAAACTCCTTAGTTTCGACAAGCAACCTTAACTACACCTACCAAGAGTCCATGTCAGTAATATCAAGGCTGCCCTTTTCAATACAAAATTGTGTTGGAACAGTTTGTACATCCGTTACGTTGATTGTTCATGTTGTACTATATTGCAAATTGATAGTCTTTACACTAGCTTCAACTATAGTAACATGGTTGTACAAAGTTTGTTTGCCTCTCTTGTAGCATGTATGGGGAATCCAAGTAATTTTGTCTCTTTTACCATATTCAACACACTGAATTTGAGCAACCGAACTAAAAGATTTGAGTTAATGATATATTCGAAATAACTTCAGAGTTTATCTTGGATTAACAGTTTGGCTTTTGAAACCAATCTTAAGATCTAGCATAAGAAGAGATTGTATCAGTTGACTATCTGATACATCTTGTTAGAAGATTGATCAATCGCCAATTGGACTTATTCCTAATGAATTCATGTTGATGTATTAATAATCATTTTGCTTATCTGATAGAATGTTACAGATGTAGTGTTTTGCCATGTAATTATTGTAAGATTGGTTTAATGATAACTGATACATGTTTGCAGCCACATGCCTTGAATTGCGCAGCTAAAACTCTCATTGGCCTTTAATTTGGATTGGATTATGCTATTCATTAAAAGTCTATCATTATCATGATATACAGCGATTGTGTCAACAATTCCATAACCCCTCTGCAAACTTGTTTTTATATCCATCATAAATCATAGACATGTTATCACTGCTACTAGTTTTCAACAGAAAATGTTTTATTACATTGTTATAGTATGTTTTGTTAAAGTTAATTGCATATTCTTCTTCATCAACATGCAACATATCTTTCATGGTAGAAATTTCCTAGTTTTTGTTTGGTCCCTTCAGAGAAAATGTAGCTAACTGCACTGTTCAATAATGTATCTGACTCAATAACATCTGTTTCAACAGATGCCATGTTGTGTGTTACTAGACCTGTATGAATATCGAGTAGTGTAATAGCTGATACTCCAAATAACATCAATAAAGATATTCCAAGAAATAAGTATATTACATTATATGATCCCACATCCTATAATTTAGTTCCTGTTAAGACAGATCAGCCAATTGCTCTGCAAAGCTAAGCAGGTTTGATCCAGTCCTTCTAAAACTGGCATTCTATTATTAATGCTCATTAATATTGTTATGTAAATAATTTATATTATTATCAATTATGAAATAATCAAGAGCCATGCATAATAATTGAATATTTATACTAATTTTGATTACAATAATGAGCAAATTTATATGAATTTGGTAATACCCTATTAATTGTAACAATCTTCTTTGTGTGACAATGTTCATATTTTTTAACATTCAACATTTGATTTTGAAAAATTACATTTTTTGAGGCTTGGAATATTATAATCATTTTAGCTATCCTCTTGCTCACAATAAAGTAAACCTGACTCTGTAATGGAAAATTTATGGTGTGATAGGGTGTCTCCAAATTTTATTGAAGTTGTATCTCAAAGTCTATACAAGGTGTCAAGTAACTTGATCCTGGTCAAAGGCACCACTTAGAAGTAAGGTTGTGGGCGAAACCTCCTTAGTAATTGCTGAAACCACGGCAAACTATATTAAATCTTATCAAAAATCCTGTTGAAACTATGCCAAAATGGCGAAACCTCAAAATGCAAAACACTGCTGAAACTCTAATAAACAATTTATCTGTAACTTTCCAAACCCTGCTGATTGATTTCTGGAGGAGTTTCGGCAAGCAACCTTACTTAGAAGGTAGTTTATTTAAAAAAAAAATTGCAAGTCTCAAGATTTTACATAAATTCTAATGTTCTAATTTCATATAATTCTATTATGATCATAATGTGATTTCACACCTCAACGATAATTTATCTCACAAAAGAGATGGCAATTAATACAAAACAAAGTATCTTTGTTGTTGTTGGTCGTTTTACAAGGTATGATTTCAATGGTATATTTTTTAAAATAAAAAATTTTACTTAATTTATCTTAATATATATATTTATTCACAAGAGAAAGTGATGCAATTTATTTATAAATTTAATAAACATTAATTAATTATAAAGGATTAAACAATAAGAAAGGATGGATATAAGATAAAACCACCAGAGAAATCGCATGGGGAGGATACTTGGACATGTGTGAATTTGCAATTCATTAAGGTGAAAATTACATTAGCCAATCAAAAGGAATTTCACACCCATATTTAATTAAAGATTTCACATCAATTTTAACCATTTTTGCTATACTATTACACTATATACCAATCACAAACTCAATTTCATGACAAATCACAAACCATTGTGTTTAGAACCACATGCAACGCCCACCAATTCAATCTGTTGAGGAACATAGTGCCAAGCCCGCCCAAATGGCAGGAGCATTCCAAACAAGCATTAATAAATAATCATTAATATGAGAGGAGTAGACGAAAATTTCGAATTAAAGATAACCAGGTATAATAAAATTTCAAATTGAACTTTCCAGCAATAGATGTGAATCAGACAAAAATGTCACACATGTGTATATAAAATAAGCACTCAACCATATTGACAAGATAGTTTCAGGCCTCAATGATAGCGCAGACCCTTTGAAAAGGGTGATTGTGTATATGAGTGGGAGGAAATCAAGCACATTGCAGTGAGCTACCTAGCACCTACTCCATATCTTTCACTGAGCTTATATAGCTTAAAAAGAAGACCAGTTAATATAACAAATTTCATGCAAGTTAACTCCACATGGTATGAGAAGGAAAGAGGGAAGCCATAAGGGAATGACTACAAATAAAAAAGTTATTCATTTCCTAAGGCTTGATAGGTTCAAATAATATGTCAGGTCCTATAAAAATCTCAATAAAAGGCTTAAGAATCGAAAAATCAATAGGAGATAGCCATGAAAGAAAGAGTATGGTCATAACCTGATTTCGATTTAAATTTCTTTTCAGATGAAGTTAATGAAGGCAATCAAGCTGATGAATATGATGAACTTGAAAGAACGTTAGAAGAAAGTTCTGAAAGAAGAGCCGAGTTAATCAAAGGTATGCATGAGAAGACAAGAAAATTGCTGAGAATAATTATCAAATGAACATGATTCACTGTTCTATCTATCTATATATTTAGTGCCTGTACAAAAGAATCGGATGCCCTAAAGGTGTTAATTACACAAAAACATACATAATAAGTGCACAAAAATTTATATCAGCTTATAGCTTAAGTTCTAAAGATCATATATATGTATATAATCCTATGTTTCTAAATTTATTAAAACTTAAACAATTAATTCGTGATTCATGATAGAAGTATATACTACACCATATATTCTGAAATCCAGGGTGGCTAAGTAGCAAAGTCAAAATTTTGTAAGAAAACAATAAAAAATATATCAAAACAATTTTTGGGATTTTTTGCATCATGTTATTTAATATTCTATGTAATATTTGTCATGTGTGCTGGTAAAAACAATTCGGAAGTGGTTAATTGTAACCATTTAATAGTGACGAACCCTCACAATTTTTATCTATTTTGTGTAACTGGTATAAACCTTCTTAAAATTTGATTGGAACGTAACGTTACATCCGGAAGTTGTGACATTGAGTTCTCAAAAAATGTAGCTATCATTAAAAATTAAAAATAAAAGAAATCGGAAAAAATTTTTTTGATGATAATATTTTATTAGTTAAAATCAAAATTTCTAAACAAAAAAAATGCAAAAAAAAAAAAATCTTGAGAACCAGACGATATTAGATTATCATGTGTATAAAATCATATAGACAAAAAGTAGTTTAATTCAATATGAAACAATCATTCTGACTATCAAGAATATCCTTTAAATGCGTTATTATATGGCCTTTAGAGAAATTGACAAAAAATTTTTATCATTAAAATTTTTTTTCAAAAATGATCATGTTTCTTTTATTTTTAATTGCTAAAGTTCTAGGAAATTTAGTAACATAAAATTTTATATGTCCGACTTTCAGTACCTAAGCTATAAAATGATATAAATTTTTTGTATACTTATTATGCACATTTTTGTATAATTAATACATTTAGGGTGCCCGATTCTTCTGTCCAAGCACTGTATATTTTGCTTAAATTCAAGAATTTTTGTGACAAGTGAATGGATGAATGAATAAACACAAAGCTAACGTTTAGTACTTTTTTTACATTGCTTGCTCGCCTGTAAAAACATTTGCTCAAGAACAAATTCCAAAATGTGATACGAGTGACGATCATTACTAATAATAGGTTGAAAAATTTCATTAATCTATTTGAAATGGTTAATCTATACTTATGTTTACATTATAGAACCCATTATTAGTAGCAAATATAATAAGTGATAAGTGGAATCTTAGCAATTGTCTGATATTGAATGAGGTGTTTAAGAACACCTTAACCTTTATCAACTTTAAGAATCATTGTGTAGGCATTTAGCTATTCATTATTGTAGGCATATTAGCTATTGTCTGGTAATTGAATGATGGGTTTAAGGACACTTCTTCTTTTATCGACTTTAGTGTTCATAAAATATATTGATTAGTAATCATTGTGTATAACTAATCAAAAGGAAAACGTTGTGTATACTTACCTGCTAGGTAAACTTACCAACAATCATACAACTAATCAAAAGATTGATGGCATGTATGCTTACTAAGGTTTCTGGCCAAAACTGCTTCTATTAGTAGCCGAAATTGCCCAAATACTTTGGGCAAAAATTATTTTTTTATAAGCCCAAACTACTTTTTGTTATTGGGCGAAATTATTTTAAAGTTGTTTAAGTTAAAACAAGTTGATTCATATAGTTTTTATTGTTTATGCTTATAAAAAATATTGAGAAGCCCAGATTGCCCAAACTAGTTTGGGATTTGAGAAAACAGTTTGGACCAGAAACCTTAATGCTTACCTGCCAGGTTGCCAGTTAAACTTATTGATAGTAGTCAATTTGCCAAGAACATTATGAAAATGGCCGTAATTATTTATTGTAAGAATTTGCTAGTGAATTGGCATTGAATCAAAAAAAATTCCAAATTTTTGAGCCAACAATCTAGAAAACACATCATGAATTAATTATAGTTGCTTGCCATAATTGTTTTTGGTTATGGTAATAATTGCAGATTCTCAATAGAAATGAACATGTCATTTGACTTAAAGAGTTCAAATAATTACAGAGATAACTTTGGCAGCTATTAAAATTAATTATGGCAACTATGCAAATCTAATTATAGCATTATAAGTATGGCAACAATCATTTATTAAGAAAGCAATTATGGCTAGCTAGAATAGCTAGTTTGGACCACATATAAATATGAGATGTTGTGGACAAGGGTGGTGCGTGGTTGGGGCATTACCTCTTTCTTATGCATGTTTTGCTTGCTTGTTTGGACCACAGGTTAAACATGAGGTGCTGTGGACAAGGGTGGTGCGTGGCTGGGGCACTACCTCTTTGCTTATTCATGTTTTGCTTGCTTGCTTGGACCACATATAAATATGAGATGTTGTGGACAAGGGTGGTGCGTGGCTGGGGCACTACCTCTTTGCTTATTCATG